CCGCCTTTATCACCGCAACTTCGACCAGCAAGACGGACGGCACTTTGGCAGCGTCCGATGGAAGCGCAAGCACCAGAGCAAATTGGCGTGGAAGATGCTGAACGGCGGCTCAAAGGTGTTCGGTGCCAAAGTCGGTCGTGATCCGGACTTCTCCGTCGATCAGGATGAGTCCTTGTCAGCAGAGGCGAAGGCAACGGTGCCTGTCGATGCAGCACCGAAGTCCAACGACGTGCTGATGTCCGAAAATGACGGCGTGACGGACTACGGTGGCAATGACTTCCCAGAAACGACGACCACTCAGAAAAGTTCAGTGATTCTGAGACATTTCGGACCGAAGACACCGTGCGAAAAGAACGAATTGACCGAAAGCTGCTTCCTGTTGAAGTCGGCTCTTTTCGCCCTCTGTCATTCGGTGGTGCCAGTGCATAGTTACCTAAAGTAGGTTGCTTGAAAGATTCAGCTTCTATTGCCACCCATAATCACTTCACGTTTCTTTGTATACTCAGGTCATGCATAATCGACAGCTGTGCGTGTCCTCCTGGACACCATTGCTTCTGTGAATCTCTGCTTGCGTATGCCAGACGCTGCAAACGGGAAGGCGTTTCCATTGAATGGCAGCTCCATGCCAAGTGCTACTTCGACAGTTTTTAACCTGTCCGTCCGCACTATGGTCGACGATAAGAGTCAGGTACGCACCAACGATTGTCGCGCTCATATTTTTTGTATATACATTCTTCATACTCAGAATTTAATAATATGCCATTAAACAGTACGCAAAATACATACATAGTTTCTGATTACAAACTGCTTCCATATTTTCAAAATATGTCTAGATTTTCGCTAAAGAAGTACAAAAGTTTGTTGGGGTATGTACATGGAACATAGTAACATTATCCGGATATTCAATGTTACCGCATAAGAATGAAGCTGATCTTAGGCTTGAATATCTCAAATAACGAATGATTTCTCAATAACCAGGTTTCACGCTGTATTCGACCGTCCCCATGCTCCTGGTTGCGTACATAGCCATTTTACGCTTTACTACTCTGGCTGATAATTTGATTAATTAAGGCCATAGTCAAAAATCTTTGTTATATGTAAGAATACTGAACTATCAGTGCATCCATTGTGCGACTCTTCGGGATTACTCTTCATGAAAAACGTTCATCAGCGTTTCAGCACATATGATTTACTTACTATCGAGGCTCCACGTTCGCCATTAACTGTAAATACCTAAACATCATTTTTACACTGTACCATTTATACATTCATAATGCAGTGTAGGTCATTAAACATCGTTATTAAGCAGTACGGTATCATCTTGTACACGAGTCCAGCTGTTTTGAACAGTAATTAAAACTTTTGTTCTAAAGTGTGCTTCAGAAAGATATAGATACTTCACTCTGTCATGGATCAAGGAGTAAGGACGATAAGAAGAAAAAACCAATGTACTGCGCCTTTCTTGAGATAAAAACTGTATTTCTCGATGCACCCTTGCTTCAAGAAGTTTCTGCAAATTAGAAAGTCCCTTTCAAACGCCTTACTGAACCGTTTCGCATTTGTAAGCCTGAATTATGCGCTGGGCGATCGAATATCCTATCACTGATAAATTCCATAGGTCTCTTGCCAATATACTAGCAATCTGTTATAACGGGTACGTTGCGGCGATAGCTTTAATCGTTGATGTTGTAAAATTTCAGATGCTCAAGAATCCAGCTTTTTGGTGCTAGATCAAACGCTTTCCTATAGTTGATCAGACCACGGCCTTGTTGGTCTTCCTCATTCTGAAGTCCAGATGTAGAGTCTTGTCCATAAGCAACTGCTCCTTAGGATCCCTTAATTTCGTCCTGCACTCTTTCTGTTCAGGAAATGTCCGCAAACTGCATTGGTTAATATAGGTGACAGGAGTTTGTTTGACAAGTTGTCCGTAGGGCATTCCTCG